CTCCTTGCTCATCTGCCATATTCTGCTTTGCACGAAGAGGCCAAGAGTTTGTCCATGGCCATCTAGCAACTACACAAGCCAGCAACCACAGGGAAGGCAGAAACTCCAAGCAAGGAGCTCAAACGCTTCTTGGTTTTCATGGCCTTTCCCCTCCAGGAAGTCCTCCTGGCTGCTCCAGCCTACGCAGATCCCCCAGCTTCTGAGCTCCCACCAGCCCTGCCAGGAAGTCGAACCACAGGCCTCCCCTGACTCCTCCCTGAGTCTGGTCTCTGCTGGCCAGCAGAGGAGCTCTTGGGCTTCCTTCTCCCTTCTCCCCTCCAGTCTCCCTGTGGCAGGGACGGCACAGGACACCGGCACAGGTCCCCAGGGCCAGCAGAGACTGGGTGCAGGGCTGGGCAAGGCTGAGAAGCAGCAGGCAGATGACACCCAGGTTTTCACCCGCTACAGGGCTTCCAACTGTGCGGAGAGCAGCACGGGGGCGGGGCGGGGGGGGCGCCTCTCTTCTGCTTGTTCCTGCAGCTCTGGGCCCTGATCACAGAAAGGGCGACAGTAGGGGGGCAGGGGGACGGAGGGAAGCTGCGGTCGGAGGCCCAGCACTGCCGGGGCGTGCATAGCTAGTGTGTGATGAGAAGCTCCTCTCATCGCAGTACCTCAAAACCAGGAAGAGAAACTGAGCAGGCAGAAAGGACAAACTGGGCTGCATGGGGCCCTCAGGTCCCTGGACGCCTGCCAAGGGGAGCTCTTGGACAGTGGCTGGACAAAACACTTCCCCATTCTGGGCCTCCGCCTCCCCAGGGGAAAAATGGGATTCTCTCCTTGGTGTGGCCAGTCTGCCCCACTGGTGCTGGATAAAAGAGATGCCCCCCTATTGGTGGAGAACTCCCGATCCCCCAGTGGGGTTTGGCCTCTCCCGGGAAGCCCCTGGGGGTTTGGCCCCCGAAGCTAGCCTCGCCCTGCTCGCTTCTCCCCTCAGCCACACAGGGAGCACACTAGCTCTTCCTTCACCAGCTCTTTATTTTTAGGTCTGAATTTGACTTTAATCATTACTTAGCGAATTCTATTTCCAGCCCTCGAATGAAGGGACCAACAGGAGAGGAGGGAGGGAGGCAGTGCTCCCTGCCCGGCGTGGGGGGCAGCCTGCTCCTCCACCCATCCTGTCCCCAACCAAGGCGGGGGGACCGAGAAACACCCAAAGGGATTGCCCCAGCCAGGCCAGCATCTTGGAGGGGACCCCACCCTGTGACCTCATCCCAGCCCAAGCTGTGGGACAGGAGGGCAGTTGTAATGCCCACTTCCCCTGTGCCAAGACCAGGGAGGAGGGAAACACTCCACAGGCGAACGTCTAGCAGCTAGAATCTGAGGTCCTGTGCCTGAGGGATCTCTGCATCGAATGGGCCCCCTGGGGGAGAACCTCCGGCCTAGCTTAGTCCTGGGCTACCCTAGGGTCATCTGGGGCCATGGTCTCTCAGGCCCCAGGAGCGCCAAGTTGAGACGGATTTCCTCCTACTGCCCACGGCGTGGCCCCAGGAGGGCACCCCCAGTTACTCTGGCCTCCACAGAAGCAGAACAAGAGGAAGAAAGGCGTTGTCACAGCAGTATGCACTCAGGTCAGACCCATGTAGCACCTGCCAGAGAGGAGGCCGCTAACGCACAAGACTTCCCCAGTGATTTGTGGACCGTCTATGCTCCCTTTCCAACTGCTAGGCTAGAAACCCTCCCCCCCACCCCCCACACCACTGGGAAAGGGTAGGGAGATGAGGCTGGCATGCCGTCCCCGGGTTGGGGCTCAGGATGCCTGGGCTCTTTGCCAAAGTCGTGGTTTTCCCAGGGAAAGTAGGCCTCTGGCTCCACTAGGGAAATTTGGGGTGGCCTAGGAAGCAGCTGTAGCTAGCTTGGGGGAGGAGGCAGCCAGGCTCTCAGAGGAGAGGCCTCGTCCAGTCAGCTCTGGTGCCTGGAGACCAAAGGGGAATGGGGAGGGTCAGGTTCATGTCCTGGAGCAGCCAATCACATGGTGATGGGGAGGGGAGAAGGCGAGGAGGTGGGACAGGGCACGGGCCGGCGTAGGGCTCCACGGGCCAAGACCAGCCCTCTGCTGGGTGAGCCACCAGCCGACCCTGGCCCAGGCATGGTCCCCACACACTGAGGCGGCCTGCCGTGGGTGCTTGGTGAACACTGCCAACCTCTCCTCACAAAGTGCTTACTGGAGGCTACGGGCGGTGCCAGGTACTTTCTAGTACCTTGGTTTAGTTAGTTCGGACTCTTTTCATATTCCCCTCTGGCCCAGGAATGGCCATCCCGCGGTGTACATAAAAGAACCCCACCTCAGAGGAGACCAGCCTGAATGGCGTGGCTGGACCTGGAACCCATGGGCTGGGTGCCAAGCTGCCCACTCTTTGCCATACCCCAGGCTGCTCTGGGGGCCTGTGGTCCCACCCGCTGTCACGGCGACAGGCGAAACAACGAGCCTATTAGTCCGGGGGCTTGGGGGAGCCTGCTGCAGCCGAGCAGTTTGGAATAGGGCGCAGCTTCTCAGAGGCGAAGTTCCCTGGGCAGAGTTCCACCTTGTGTGGGCAACACGAGAAAATGCTCAGAGACAGAGAACTGAAAGGAAAAAAGGTGTCATGGTGCGCATATTCAAATGACAACAGCGACGAAGGAAGCAAAAATCAGGAAAAGACAGGGAGGGAACTCCAAAATGCAAAGAGTCGCTCCTCTGATGAAGAAACTGTGATTCTTGTGTTGTTTTCTAAGTTTCCTGTAGTGCTATGTTGTTACTTTCTGCATTAAGAAAGTAACACGCACATAGTTTTCTCCTGAGCTCAGATCTGCTTCTGTGGGACCCGACTGCCCCCCAGATCCGGCCCTGACACCTGGGACATCTTCCACGGGACAGCCTTTCTGATACGGAATAGCCCCTCAGGCATGTGCGGGGCTCTCCCTACCCTCTCCTTCCCGGACCAAACAACTCTTTCTCTGGGGACTACATGTCAAGGCTTCAAAATGCCTCAAAAGATAGAGCCTGGAACTGGACCCCGGCTGTTCTGCCCGCTGAGGCCTCCTGGCAGCTTGCTCGGGCATCTGCATCACACACTGTGAATCCTGGGCCTCAGCCCCTGCCTGTACTCTGGGCTGCTCCATGGTGGCTCAGCCTCTCGGGGCCAGGTGCCCCCTGCAGTGGCCCTGGAGACTATCATCTAGTCCTTCCTTGCCCTGACCCAATGCAGAGAGAAGAGCTGCCACTTCTGAGAGGCAGGAAGGCACCAAGCTCACCAGATAAAAAACGCATCTCTGCACCTGTGCTAGCCTAAAGCCAGAGACCCTTTCCTACAAAGGCCTTGGGACCCTGGGGTCGCACCCACACAGCTCACAGTCAGTATAAAAGCGTCCAACCTTCAGGCCTCAGCCCCAGGCCCCCAGGCTGGAAAGGAAGTTAAGGCCGGGTGTGGGGAGCCTCAGAGGCCCACCACATCTGGGTCCCCTCCGCAATGCATGTCGGGGTAACTGGAAAAAAAACTCTATATCAAGGGCAGAGTCCCGAGCAGGACAAAACTACCAGCGGCCCCAAGAGGGCCCAGACATAGCTCAACATCCTCCAGGGAACCTCCCACCCTCCAGGGAGCGCGAGGATCCTGTCACACTCCCAACCTCCCTCCTGCTGCCTCTGCCCCGTTCCTGTAAGGGTCCCACCACGAAAGACACTGGAACCACCAAAGGGTGGAGAGCTTGGAACAGGCGCCCTGTGTGTGCCCACTCTGACCACGCTCCTATGCCAAGGCTGTGGAAACACGGCTCTCACCTTCCCCGTCTGGATCCCATCCATGTTCTGAACCCGGCTGCTCCAGTGCTGGCTGGGCCAAACGTGTGGGAGGCCTGGGGCAGGACTGACTACCGGGCTGTTTCAACTCGGCGCCAGGGCCCCACCACACAAGGTACCCCCTCCCACCACATCCCCTGTCGGTGGGACCCACCTCAGGCACCAAGGGGAAATCCCACGGGCAGTAAGTACCAGGGCTGCCTGAGCCCAGACCCAGGCAGAGCTGGGGCCGGAAGCCCTCTGTAGGGAAGCACGTGCTCACCCCACAAGGTCCCTTGGGTCAGGCTAGGGGCCTGGGTCCTCGGTGGGGGAAGGTACCTGCCTGGTTCCCCTCCACCCACAGCAGTGCAGCTTGGCGGAGCAGAGGAGGAAAGGATAGACAGCCTGACTCGGCCAGATACCTGGGGTAGCAACTCCCCCTCTGAGCCTCAGTACACTGGTCCTCAAAGTGGGAGGGGAGGTGAACCCCTAGTTAAGCTCCAAGGATCTGGTGGCTGGACACGCCTCTTCCTGACACCTGGTCTGGGCCCTGAGGAGTCTGGGAGAATGAAATGACCAGGCTGCCAGGAGATGGGGGCATGGTCCTAATGCCCAGTGTCCCATCCACCCACACAGAAGCCCTGCCCTGTTTCCCCACCCAAGGGTCACAGGTCCCTTGGCTTAGGCCTGCTCTTCTGAGAGGCCAACAGGCTCAACCTCTAGCAAGCTCAAGGGAGGTGGCTGGGCCCTGGGCTTCCTAAGAAGAGCCAGCTGGCTCCTCGGTGGGGGAATGAGGGAGGGTTCAGAACAGGGAAGGCCAGGGACCTGCAGGGAGGGCCTGGGGAGGCAGGGAACAGCCAAGTGTCCATTCTCTAGAGCCCTGGCCTATGCTGACCCCCTCCCTCCAGGCTCCAGCCAGCCCCAACACATGGTGGGACAAGGAGGGGACAGACTCGGAGTGGCCTGAGACAAGTCCGGGGGGCTCACAGGGCAGCACCTCCCTGGTGAGGTCCCCTCCCAGTCGGGCTGACAGTGACTCCCGGGAGAATTCGAACCGGGAAGGAGCGGGGTAAAGGACGTGGGGGATGGGGAGTGGACGTGACCGCAGCTGCAACGGAAGCAACAGAAGCGGGACGCGCGACCTCCAACCTCATCCCCTCGGGAAGCACTCGGACGCCCACCTCCGCCAGGCCCTCCAGGCACTCACCTCTCTAGGGGCACTGCGGTCCGGGCCACCTCGCTGCGGGCAGCATCAGCGGCCTGCGGGACGGTCCATGCGGCCAGGGGGGAGGGGAGGGGCGCAGGGGTCCCCGGGGGGTACGGTACAAAGAGGTATTGGTGCGAAAAGAGGGGGAGGAGGGACGGCCAGACAGAGGCAGGGGGATGGCCGCGCGGCCCGGGTCGGGGAGGGAAGAAAGGCGGGGGAAGGGGGGCGGGAGGGAGTCGGGGGGAGGAAACAATGTAGCCGGCGCAGCCCCGGCAGAGTTCCGCTTCCGAACGCCGCCACCGAGGTTCGAGTTTGGAACGTCGCGCCGGCCGCCGGGGTCTGCCCCGGACGCTGGATCGGGGGCCGCGGAGGCTCCCCGCGCTCCACGCCCCGGAGACTCTGGCGGCCACAGGCTGGCTGGGGCGGGAGGGACGGCTGGCCGGGGGCCGGCCCCGACGGCGGCGCGGCCGGGCGGTCGCCCCGCTCGGACCCCACCCCGGCAGGCCCCCCGGGCAGGGTGCGGGGTGGGGCGGGAGCGGAAAGGCGGCGGTGGTGGCGGCGGGGGCGGCCGAGCCGGGCTTGCCCGGGGCTCCGCTGGGAGGAAGCTCGCAGGCCTGGCGAGAGGAAGCGCGGCCCGGATCCTCCGCCCGCGGCAGCGCGCCTGCGCGAGGGGGCCTGCCCGGCGCGCGGCGGGGCGTGGGCCGGAGGAGCGGCGCCCCCTGCCGGGCGCCGGGGGCACTGCGGGGGGTGTGTCCGCGCCCACGCCCTGCCCCCACCTGCCGGCCCGCGCTGAAGGCTCCCGAAGGTCCCTCCGGGAGGGCAGACCTGCCCGCCGTGGGGCGACCTCCGAGCCTTCTCTGGGTTCCGGTCCCCGATGTAGAAGCGATTGAGGCCGGACCTGGGCCTCTCTCCTCGGATCTGTAGTGAAGAGTAGGCCTCATTCGCAGCTACTAGTAAGCATTCGTTCACTCATTCAAACGATTCCTAGCTCTGACAACGTGACAACGTGACACGTTCTGTTCTGAAGTCTGCTAGAAGGGCCACTTCACCTTACTGTCAGGGGGTTCTCAGTAGGATAACCGACAGGCCAACAGACAAGTGCGAAGAAACAACTGATAAAGGTGGAGAGGTGGTGTCCGAGGTCGACAGAAAGCAGGAAAGAGGGGAGGGCTAATGGGAAGGCTTAATAGAACTGGGACCCCAGGTGGGGAAACAGCCTGGACAAAGGCAGGGAATGATGGGAACCCTTGAAGGCTAGGGGAACCCTAAATAGCTTAGTATGGCTGCAATTTGCAGTGTGGGTTCAGGAGAATGGTGGGAGATGGGGTCTCTGCAAACTGCAGGGAGGAGAGATCCAAGGAAGTTGTGGGACTTTCTTGGCTTTATTTTCCGCCTGGAGGCAATGAGGTTGTTGGCAGTAGCTGTGTGAGCTTCGGAAAGTTACTTAAACTCTCTGCGCAATGGTTTCCCCATTTGGTAAAATGGGGGAAATAATAGCACCAATTTCTTAAGGTTTTGTGGTGAGGAAATGAGTTAAATAATTTAAAGTGCTTAGTGTGCAGTGGTTGGCACGTGATCAGCCCTCAGTTAAGTACCACTGTTACATATCACAGTTAACGAGGAGCAGGGAAGTGGTCTGCTCTGAGCTAGAGGAGCAGACAGTGTGTGTGGCTGTGTGTGCGTGGGGGGGAGGGGGTTAGTGATGGAGGAGACACCAGACTCTGGTGTAGGTAGGAGGCGTCAAGGCGCTTCTTAGGGACTGGGTCCTGAAGGAAGAGTTGGGGCTGGTTGGGCAGAGAGGAGGGGCACTGTCTGGTGGGGGAAATGAGGCATATTGGCAAAGTCTAGTGTACCCAGACTGAAGGAATGAGAGGGACAGTAATGGGCCCGTGGGAGAGTGAGCTGGAGAGGCAGCGTGGCTGAGTGTGCAAAGAGCTCAAACGCCAGGAGCATGAGTTGGGTGTGGCACAGTCGGTCAAGCGTTCAACTCTTGATTTCGGCTCAGGATCTCACAGTCCTGAGATCAAGCCCAGTGTTGGGCTCTGCGCTGGGCAGTGGAGCCTGCCTAAGATTCTCTCTCCCTCTCCCTCTGCCCCCCACCCTCCATATGTGCACTCTCTCTCTCTCAAAAATTAACTAAAAATAAAAAAGGAGGGAAGTAGTAGTCACACCTCTACCCTTTGAGGAGACATCAAGTCTCAGAGATTGCTATGGTGTAATGGAAAAAAGCATGGACCGGGGGTTCAAATCTCACAGTTAAATCTCAGCTGGGTCACTGACTAGCTGTGTGACCTTGGGCTAGCTACTTAAGGTCTCTGAGCTCAGTTTCCTCTTTTGTAAGATCAGGCTCAAAATATCCTTCTGCTCATGAGAGATGCTGCAGATTCAGCAAGATAACCGCCCTCGGGGTGAGGGGGAGGAGGATGCTCAGCCCCGGTTGGTTTCCCTTTCTTTCCTCTGAGGTCAAGATGGAATGATAAAGTAGTGCTGTGTGGGGCCACCGCTCAGCCTGAAGGAAAGCGGCAGCTCTGCAAAAGGCTCCTGAAAGGGAGAAGTTGACAGCTCCCCTCCCCTGACGGGGTCAGCTGGTGAAATGGGAGAGGACTGTGGGGATTTGGGGAAAATGCTCTAATTCCTGTCCCAGTTTTGTCACCAAGCCATCTTCCTTTATCCCCAACACATTTGATTTTCTCCCCTGGTTTGCTGCAGCCGCGAGTGTGAACTTTGGAGTCAAATAGAGTTGCGTTTGAATCCTGGCTCCGCCTCTCCACGGTGGAGTGAAATACATTTTTTACCTTCCCTGCACCCCAGACCCAGGAGACAAATCAATAAGGCGCCCTGGCCCACTAGGTATGCGCTAGTGGGAGAGCCAGCTAACCTCCAACTCCCCCAGTCACTTCTCATTCACTCACTCACTCAACAAACGCTTATTGAGCACCTACTAAGTGCTTGCCACTGTCCTGGAGGCTGGAGATGAAGGTGCAAGCAAGGCTACCATGGTTCTTGCCCAGCAGGTTAAACAAACAGGGTAATTAGACACTGTCGCAGGAAGGCATGAATGCTGGGTGGAAGAGAACAGGCTAGGGGAGCCAGGCACAGAGGCTCAGCAGCTTGAGGAACAGTCAGAAGGCCAAGGTGACAAGGCCCACAAGCAGGGGAGAGAGGTATTGGAGGAAAGGGCCAGATCCCAGGGGTCCTTGTGGGCCAGTTGTTTTATTACACGAATTTGGATTTTAATATATGGCCAATGGGGAGCCAGGGGTGATGGGCATGGGCCCCCGTGGACAAAGATGAGGCACGTGACAACTCTTGCTCAGGTACTCTTTGTGGGGAGTGAGGCTCCTGGAGAAAGCAGGCCTAATCCCTGGGTATGGCTGGAGCATCTGGGGGGTATGGTGGTGGTCTTTGCTGAGGTGGGGACGACTTGGGAGAGCGGCAGGGGTGGGGAATGCTCAAGAGCTAGAGTTTGGGCAAACCGGGTTTAAAGCCCCTGTGAGACATGGAGATGTCAAGCTGGCGTTTGGAGCCAAGTCCTACAGACAAGGTCACTGTGGCTTGAATGTAAAGAACTTTCCCAGAGTCCCACCCCCAAGACGGATTTGGGTCTGAGGACCTCCAAAGCCTGGAGCACCAAACAGCCTCAGAACTCAGCAGACTATAGGAAACGAAATCATCAGAGGGAGGTCCTTGGGTTTTAGGACTGGGGAGGAAATTTAAGAGGAGCACTCCCCCTTCCACTCCCCCACCCCCCACCCGCCAGGTAGGCTCCAGCGCTTGCTCTCCCAGGCTGGGCTACTAGTCTCCACCCTGGGGGGAGTCAAAAAAAGAGAGGTTGGAAACTCATGGATGTGGAGGACCGAGCTCAGGACTTCTGGCTGCATTTTAATAATATGAGCTAGACCAGCTGTCCGCAGAGTCGGGTTGGTCGTTGGATGCCAGAAGTCCAGAGCTTAAGCACCTTTATGGATGGACTGCACTGGGTTCCCCAGGTGCCTTGGGAAGCAGAGGACCTCTCCTCCCTCCATCCTGCCTCCTCCCCTCCCCCCTTGCTCTGAGAGGACAGTTTAGAGAAGCTGGTGTGAAATAGTTTGAAACTCAGAACTTCTGGGCGGTCCCCCAGGGCAGAAAACAGGAAGCCAAGATTAAAGGCAGATCTCCAGCAAAGTCCCCTTCTAACTTCCTGCAGAGCAGGTGCTCAGGCTGAGCTGTGAGCAGCTACCCTTGCTTGACAGCACCTCAGGCAGCCTCCTTTGGCCTTGCCGTCACCATCTCCACTGGTGAGCTCCTGCCAGGCCCTTGGGGAATGAGCCTCCTCCAGAAAGAGGCTGTGGAAGGTGGAAGGTTTGGTCACTGGAGAAGAGGCCTAGTGGCACTGATAGGAACTAGCATCTGGGGACCCCCAGGCAGCAGAGAGAACAAGTGGAAAGGGCATGGGCTTTGGGGGTCACTCAGGCCTGCTTTGAATGCCACTGCCCTCCTGTGGGGTCTTGCTGACCCGAAGGGTAGAAAGAGGGGCTCAAGGGAAGGTGGCTAGGGAGACCAGACCCATGTCAAGGGCTGAGAGTCCCTAAGGAAGGACAGAAACCAGGAGACAGTGAGAGGCCACAGTGGCCCCTGACATCTGGAAGCCAGGGGCTGCTCGGCTGGATGGCCGCACTGATATCCACAGCTGCTAAAAGCTCAGGGAATCAGGGGCCAGGATGGGCTTCCCCTGGGACCTCTTTCCCTTCCTGACCTGCAGGACAGCAGGCTTTCATGGGCTCCCTCAAGTCAAGAAGCTGCACCTGCCTCATGTAGGGGCAAGGCCTTGGCCTTCTGCATAAGCCTTCGAGCTTCAGCCTGAACTCCCACCCTTACAAAGCTGTCTGTGGGAGTGAGCGTGGCTACCTGGAATCTAGGTGTGTCACACGTTGAAAACCCCCCTCCTTGGGCTGGCGGAGTTTATCATGAGGACGAGGTGTTGGCCTGGGAAATTGAGGCTCTAGAGACAGACCTTGCTTCTGGGCAAGGCTCCCTGTCTAGGCCTCAGCTTCCCCACCTGTGTGCTGAAGGGGCACAGCTGGAGTTCTCCTGCAGATCTGAATCCTCCAACTTCTGACTCCCCGGGACTAGGGAGCTGCCATTTGCTGAGTACCTACTATGTGCTGGGTACCTCATTATTATTACTGATGATGATGCCTAATATTTACTGAGCGCTTACTCTGCACAAGCTTTTTTTTTTTAAGGTCAGATTAAGGTCCATTCTCTTCGGTGCACCTGTTTGCTCCCGGGAAATTTCCTAGGAAGTCAGTCTTTGTTTCTGACGTGATGGTGCTAGAAGTCTTGGTGGCGGTGGTCTGGTGGCTTTGTGGCATTAGCGGTGTTAGTGGTGGTGGCGACCCAACTGAAAGGTCACTGGGGCGCTGGCAGGACCCACTCTTGTGGCCTGAGGCCACCCGCACACAGCCCTTCCCCACCACACGGGGGTTAACTGGCCAGTCCCCTGACCTCAAAGGTCAGGGGTTCTGGGCTGCCTGATTTAGAACCTCCCGGAAGTGGGAGGCTGCAGAGCTAAGTCCAGGGCACAAACTGGTTAAGGCACCTGTCGTCCCTGTCAACTGTCTCAATGCTTCCCTCATAACACGTATTTCTCTCTTCCTCAGTCCCTGTCTTCTTGGGC